GGGGCGCGCCGGGGCGGGGCGCGCGCGGAGTGCGGGCCCCTGCGCCGCCGTGCATCCTGGGATGCGTAGTTCTCAAGGACCGCGAGGCTTGGCTTGGAGGTGGAACTACGGGTTCTCTGATGTCATCGCCCCGAGCTGCGAGGCGCAAGGATCTTTAAAACGAAGCTTCGTTCGCTTGCAGATAAATTTGTTTGCAAACCGTCGCACAGTCGGTACCGAAGGCATTAATTCACAGACTGCAGTGTGACCTGGAGAAAAGTGCTTTCTACCTCTGAGCACAATTTTTCGCTGTTAACCACTTCTTTCTCCTTTAGAAATGCACCTCCACCTCCTAATTAGAATGCTGTTAATAGTATAGGTGGCTACGCGAAACTTAAAGTTATTAGTCGAAATTCTTTAAGGGCGGATGTCTTCTCAGATGTTTATAACATTTTTGTTGAGCACCTACCATGTGCCAGGTACAGTTCTCAGGGATCCTGCGTTAGGTAAGCGGAGCTAGTAAGATCATTACAGATTTTAATGCAGTGAAGAGCCGGACAAACTGCAGAGGTAATGTCAGAAAGGGTGGTCAGGGAAAATTCTCTGAGGAAGTGATATTTGAGCCAAAATCTGAAGAATGAGAATCTTTCAAAGATACTAAGAGTTAGAGAAGAATTACATACTATAATTTTCTCGGTACATAGCACACACTAGACTCTGAATAATTTTGTGTTCGTTTCTTCTCCGTGCACAACCTTAGATCACATCATTCCCCCTCCAAAAGTGTTTTCAAAACCTTTCAGAACATCCTTTCTATGTGAAGATGGTGCAGGAGACAATGTCCTGAGGTAGGACACACTGTACTCAGAGTTGGATAAACTGGAAAAGGTGAGCACACCTTGCAAACTGCATGGAATGTTCCAGTGCTGGCTCTCAGATTTCTTCCTCAGCTGCCTTTCCTCCAAGATGATTATTCTGTCGTCTTCCCAGAAACCTTTTTGCCCATGCAACCTTAATGTCACTTGTCTCTCCTTGGGGCCTCATTTCCTCATCTGAATAAAGGTTGAAAGGGTTTAGCCTCACCAGAGTCTATGAGCAGACTGTTTTCTTTGATCCACACAATGAGTTTGTGTTGGTTTAACTGAATGTGTGGCTGATATTTAAAAATAAGAGTTTTCACATAAAAATCCAGATGTCACCTGATTCCTCCAGGCATTTGAACTGGGTGGGCTTTCCTGGCTTGAAGATCTGGAAGCAGTCTCTAGCTTTTTAGCTCTAGAATCCTAGAAGATTCCAGATGGGATATTTGAGACATACTTAACAGATTTTTTAATCTGAAAACCCTAACCCTGAAATCAGACCACTGAGGCAGAGAGCCTCCAGCTCCCTCTGGTTGCAGAGGGAATCATTCTCCTAATGTTACTACCATTTGACATCATCAACTGAGAAGATAATATTGCTCCTTTGCTCTTTTTTTTTTTTTTTTTTTTTGAATAAGAAACCCCAAATATAGCCAGGTGCAGTAGCACCTCCTGTAATCCCAGCAGCTCAAGAGGCTGACGCAGATGGAGGTGAGTTCAAAGCCAACCTCAGCAAAAGTGAGGTTCTAAGCAACTCAGTGAGACCCTATCTCTAAATACAGTACAAAACAGGGCTGGGGATGTGGCTCAGTGACTAAAACCCCTGAATTCAATCCCTAGTACTACCCCTTCAAAAAAAAAAAAACCCAAAATATTGTTTGACTTTCAGCACCAAATCTGTATACAATGAGGGAAGCCAGAGAAATGACTCAGTTTGCCCAAAAACACACAGCAAGGTAATCCCAGGACTGCTTTGAGGCAGAACTTGACAGCTCCTGATCAGCCAGTAAGTACAGAGACTGAGGAAAGGAAGAAGAAGGAAACAAACAACAACAACAAAAAACTGTCTCTGCTTTTCTTCGTCCTTTTTTTTTTTTTTGGATGGAGAGGTTTTTGTTACATAACAGTGCTTTCAGTGTTACTTAAAAGAAAAAAATGTGGAATATTTCCCTGTTGAAATTACAGTCTGAAAGCAAACCAAGAAACTAAAGACACACCAAAGGCACTGAGGCAGGATGGAATATTCCATCAATCTTTGTCATCAGAAAGAAAAGGACAAACTCTGAATTCAAGGACCAGCAGTTTACCTTTAGAGCATCACTGTCATTGTCATCATGGTGCTTTGCACATATAAAGTACTTGAATGTTTCATTAGAAAACATCTCTTCATCCCTTTCCTCATGCTTAGCATGGGTCCTGGGTCCTCCCTAAAGACATCAGCCCCTTTGAGAGGCATTTACTTTATCCAAAATTTCAGGGAAGGTCACTGAGCTCTGGCTGCCTCTCTAACACAGTATTTGACTTCCCCACTCCTGTGCACATATTGTACCTCATTTCTCCACTTTGTTTTTACGTATGCATGTATAATATATATCTTACATATTTATTATATATATATTTCATTTACCTTGTTTATTTCCTGCCTGTCCTCCTAGAATGTAGTCTCCACGTGGACAGAGATCTTCTCTGTTCTGGTTGAACCTTAATGCCTCAAACAGGTACATCTGCTGAACGATGAACGCCACAAACTCACTTTATGGATGGAGTTAAACAGGAGGAGCAATTCCAGAAGTCAAGCCCTTACAAGAAATCAGAACTAAAATAAACAAGAATAAACATGAACAGAACACTCTCTGAATCCAGCTTTGTTCTTTTGTGTCCCCTCCAAAAATGGAGTAGCAGAGAGTTAAAAATAAGCTCTTCTCTATTTTTTAGTGTAAAATGGAACCAGATCCTGCCGAGGTCAGAGCGTTGCTTCTGTGACTGGAGCCAGGAGGCTTCCCGACCACCAACAATCTAGTGACAGGGAGGACCGTCCTAGGTTAATTGCCCAGGGCAGGGCAAGTTAAGGGACCTGCTCAGACTACAGATGAGATGACTGGAATGTCCTACGGCCAATTCTTACTTCCCAGAGCTGACCACAGTCCTCCTTCAGGAAAGATCATGGAGGACTGCCCATATTTCTTGCTTACAGATGTCAAGAATAGGATTTCTGAAGGGCTGGCTCTGAGAAGTCTGCAGGGTGGCTGGGTCTGGCCTGAGCTCCAAACCCACAAAGGGAAAAAAGTGGGAGTTGGGGGAGGTGATGCCTCCAAGACTTGTGGAGGGCAGAACCAGGTCTTTCTGACCCTCAGATCATCCAGCAATAAGAAGCCTAACCCTAAACATCTGGACAAATGTGATAGTGAATGTCCTGTAGTATTGGGGTCCTGAAGCTCCCCAGAAGTCCTATGATCTGTGTTGTGCTGACCACATATGGCATTCTGGGATACTGGTAAACCCTAAAATTGAGGAGCAGGATTGCCCACTATCATCCAAACATGTACACTCTTGCACCCATGTGTCATTCAGGCTTGAAGAGCAAGGTTTTCTGAAGTCAAGGCTATCATCCAGAGCCCCAGCTAGGTGGCTAATTGCTGTGTTGAACTGCAGAACATTCTAGAAGCTGAGGGAGACTGGGGATGAGCCCATCTTGGCTTCACAAGCTCCTTGGCCTAGGAAAGAGGAGCTCACACCCTGCCCTGACCTGTCCAGCTCCTTTAGTCAAAGGCCACTGGCTTCTTTCTTCTATCTCCATTCCCCAGAGGAGGTTATTGATGTTCCACAACAAGAACAAATGCCCCCAGAGTCCCTAAGGGCTGGCTGCAACCTGTGCTTTGACTCCCCCAAGGAAGAAAAGCATAGAATCACAGCTTCCGGGGCCACCGTGGGCCCCGACCCAGGGTATTTCATTGGGCTCTCACATTTCTTCATCTGTAAAGTAGATGACAATAGCTCCTGCTTCTCAGCCTGGCCAGGTAACGGCAGCAGTTAGTGCTTAGCTCAATTGCTGAGCCTGCCTTGCCAAGGCTGGCTGAGGCAGTAGGAAAGTTCTAGATTCACACCTCCCCCACAGTGCTGGGGACTGAACCCCGGGCCTTGTGCATGTGAAGCAAGCACTCTACCAACTGAGCTCTGTCCCCAGCCCTAGGACTTACATCGGGATGACTGAGACGGGATTACAGTGTGGGGTCTTGGGGAATTTAACTTGGGTGGATCTGATGTTGGGAAGGGGAAGAGCCTGCCTTGGAAGGACCCAAGATGCCAGGGCAGGACTACGATGGTTTCAATCCTCCCTGGCTCCCTCA